TCCCTCAGTAACAATTTCTGTGTCCCTCAGTAACAATTCTGTGTCCCTCAGTAACAATTCTGTGTCCCTCAGTAACAATTCTGTGTCTGTCCCTGAGTAACAATTCTGTGTCTGTCCTCTGAGTAACAATTCTGTGTCCCTGAGTAACAATTCTGTGTCCCTCAGTAACAATTCTGTGTCCCTCAGTAACAATTCTGTGTCCCTCAGTAACAATTCTGTGTCCCTGAGTAACAATTCTGTGTCCCTGAGTAACAATTCTGTGTGTCCCTGAGTAACAATTCTGTGTCCCTAAGTAACAATTCTGTGGCCTAAGTAACGGTTCTGTGGCCCTCAGTAACAATTCTGTGTCCCTCAGTAACAATTCTGTGTCTGTCCCTGAGTAACAATTCTGTGTCCTAAGTCCCTAAGTAACGTTTCTGTGTCCCTAAGTAACAATTCTGTGCCCTAAGTAACGTTTCTGTGGCCCTAAGTAACAATTCTGTGGCCCTAAGTAACAATTCTGTGGCCCTAAGTAACAATTCTGTGGCCCTCAGTAACAATTCTGTGTGGCCCTCAGTAACAATTCTGTGTCCCTCAGTAACAATTCTGTGTCTGTCCCTGAGTAACAATTCTGTGTCCCTAAGTAACGTTTCTGTGTGCCCTAAGCCCTAAGTAACAATTCTGTGGCCCTCAGTAACAATTCTGTGTCCCTCAGTAACATTTCTGTGTCCCTAAGTAACAATTCTGTGGCCCTCCTGAGTAAAGTTTCTGTGGCCCTAAGTAACGTTTCTGTGGCCCTAAGTAACAATTCTGTGGCCCTAGTAGTAACGTTTCTGTGGCCCTAAGTAACAATTCTGTGTGGCCCTAAGTAACAATTTCTGTGTCCCTCAGTAACAATTCTGTGGCCCTAAGTAAGTTTCTGTGGCCCTAAGTAACGTTTCTGTGGCCCTAAGTAACGATTCTGTGGCCCTAACAAAGTCTGTTTCTGTGGCCCTAAGTAACGTTTCTGTGGCCCTAAGTAAACAAATTCTGTGTGTCCCTCAGTAACAATTCTGTGTCTGTCCCTAAGTAACAATTCTGTGGCCCTAAGTAACGTTTCTGTGGCCCTAAGTAACGGTTCTGTGGCCCTCAGTAACAATTCTGTGTCCCTCAGTAACAATTCTGTGTCTGTCCCTGAGTAACTGTGGTCCCTAAATTCTGTGGCCCTAAGTAACGTTTCTGTGGCCCTAAGTAACGTTTCTGTGGCCCTAAGTAACGATTCTGTGGCCCTAAGTAACGTTTCTGTGGCCCTCAGTAACGTTTCTGTGTCCCTCAGTAACAATTCTGTGTCCCAGTAACAATTCTGTGTCCCTAAGTAACGTTTCTGTGGCCCTAAGTAACGTTTCTGTGGCCCTAAGTAACGATTCTGTGGCCCTAAGTAACGTTTCTGTGGCCCTAAGTAACGTTTCTGTGGCCCTCAGTAACAATTTCTGTGTCCCTCAGTAACAATTCTGTGTCTGTCCCTAGTAACAATTCTGTGGTCCCTAAGTAACAATTCTGTGGCCCTAAGTAACGTTTCTGTGGCCCTAAGTAACAATTCTGTGGCCCTCAGTAACAATTCTGTGTCCCTCAAGTAACAATTCTGTGTCTGTCCCTAAGTAACAATTCTGTGGCCCTAAGTAACAATTCTGTGGCCCTAAGTAACGTTTCTGTGGCCCTAAGTAACGATTCTGTGGCCCTCAGTAACAATTCTGTGTCCCTCAGTAACAATTCTGTGTCTGTCCCTGAGTAACAATTCTGTGGCCCTAAGTAACGTTTCTGTGGCCCTAAGTAAACGATTCTGTGCCCTAAGTAACGTTTCTGTGGCCCTAAGTAACGTTTCTGTGCCCTCAGTAACAAATTCTGTGTCCCTCAGTAACAATTCTGTGTCCCTAAGTAACAATTCTGTGGCCCTAAGTAACGTTTCTGTGGCCCTAAGTAACGTTTCTGTGGCCCTCAGTAACAATTCTGTGGCCCTAAGTAACAATTCTGTGTCTGTTCTGATTCTGTGGCCCTAAGTAACAATTCTGTGGCCCTAAGTAACGTTTCTGTGGCCCTCAGTAACAATTCTGTGTCCCTCAGTAACAATTCTGTCTGTCCCTAAGTAACAATTCTGTGGCCCTAAGTAACGTTTCTGTGGCCCTAAGTAACCTCAGTTCTGTGGCCCTCAGTAACAATTCTGTGTCCCTCTAAGTAACAATTCTGTGGCCCTGTCCCTGAGTAACAATTCTGTGTCCCTAAGTAACAATTCTGTGTTCTGTGGCCCTAAGTAACGTTTCTGTGGCCCTAAGTAACGATTCTGTGGCCCTAAGTAACGTTTCTGTGGCCCAGTAAGTAACGTTTCTGTGGTCCCTCAGTAACAATTCTGTGTCCCTCAAGTAACAATTCTGTGTCTGTCCCTAAGTAACAATTCTGTGGCCCTAAGTAACGTTTCTGTGGCCCTAAGTAACGATTCTGTGGCCCTCAGTAACAATTCTGTGTCCCTCAAGTAACAATTCTGTGTCTGTCCCTAAGTAACAATTCTGTGGCCCTAAGTAACGATTCTGTGGCCCTCAGTAACAATTCTGTGTCTGTCCCTAAGTAACAATTCTGTGGCCCTAAGTAACGATTCTGTGGCCCTCAGTAACAAATCTGTGTCCCTCAGTAACAATTCTGTGTCTGGCCCTAAGTAACAATTCTCTGTGGCCCTAAGTAACGTTTCTGTGTCTGTGGCCCTAAGTAACGATTCTGTGGCCCTCAGTAACAATTCTGTATCCCTCAGTAACAATTCTGTCTGTCCCTGAGTAACAATTCTGTGTCCCTAAGTAACGTTTCTGTGGCCCTAACTAACGATTCTGTGGCCCTAAGTAACGTTTCTGTGGCCCTATGTAACGTTTCTATGGCCCTAAGTAACGATTCTGTGGCCCTAAATAACGTTTCTGTGTCCCTAAGTAACGTTTCTCTGTCCCTAACTCTCTCCCTGAATACAGCCAGGGTCTGCCTCTGTTGAATGACTGGAGGCAAATGGAGAATTCTAAAAATGGCCACCATTTATAGCTCGACCATTACACTGTGCTGGCTGGCTGGCTGCTGATTGGCTAATGCGATCACATGTCATGAATGAATGCATTATGGGTCAGCGCGCCTTTCTCTGCGCGCCTTCCCAGACATCCCCGCTCCGTCGCCGCACATGTCGCCGCCATTTTAGGAAAAATTTCGATTCGCGCATCCGAAGTCTGCTTATTTTCGGATTCGACGCGAAATTTCCTAATATTCGAAACGAATTCCACTTCGCCTACTTCGATTCGCTCATCTCTAGTTATAGTCATAGACACAGAGGGGATTCTTAACAACGCCAGATGCCATGTTAATTGGGGTCATCATATCTGTGTTAATGGAAGACAGGGCAAAAAACATCCCGTTTGTCTTTCCACTTCACTGCAAGCAATTCCTAATTTCTCAATCAGGCTTTTCTCCCCCTTTCTAAGCTGGGTGTTTACAAGCCATTGGGGGAAGCCCCAGCAATTAGGTCACACGGTGCCACATGCACCAATTCCAAGATTGTACAAATGTCTAGATAGTGGCATGCTTGTATAGAAATTGTCCATATATAAGTGGCACCCCTTGCGGAACTAAATGCAAGTGCTGGCAGCAAACGGGGCTGATCCTGCTAACACTGCGTTTTTGGGGACACTAATACTAAGGGGGCACTAGTATAGTTCTGTTCATGATCAATATATGGATCCGTACAAACATTATACTAGTAATGACGGTAATCAGCAACCTATAGCATGAGTGCGATAGTGTGGCAATCTAACGTTAGCTGACCCTGGATGGGAGGGACACTAACTGACCCTGATGCTATCTGACATCGCTAGGGGTACTAATACAGTGATCAGTGAAAAATACTGTACACTGACACTGTACTAATGGCACTGGCAGGGTGATGGGGTGATCAAACTGTTAAATATGAAAATCAAGGGGATAAAATGTGTCTATCTAAGGTGTGTGGGTACTCATGTGTAATGTCTCATTCTTCTCTCCCTGGAACAAAATGGTTCCAGGAAGAGAAGAACCAGCAAGAACAGCTCTGCTTCTGCATTTTTTGTAGGAGATCAGATTCCCAGTCAAAAATCACTGGCCGAGACCTGTTGACATGCATCTCCTGCAGTGAATGACAGCTGGTGTCAGCAGGGGGGTGCATGCATGCGCACTCCAAACCTGGAAATAAACAGTGACGTACGGGTACGTTGCTGGTCCAGCTGCTTCCGCCTGTCCGCAATACATTGCGGGCGGGCAGACCAAAAGTGGTTAACACAGGTATATGATAACAAACACATATGCGAATGGTTCTCAATCATTTGGTAACTGTTTTTGCTTTTACATAGTAATTTATAAGACGGCTGGAGGCTTCCTTCATAAAAAATGCCTTTAGCCTGCAGATGCTGCTGCAGCCTTAGGTTGGCAATGTTAGCTGTTTAATACTGTAAATGTCAGATACATTTCTCATACAACGCTTTGGGCTGTGCATTGAGTGCTTAATAATCAGTTTACATCAGTTTTCATGCACAATTCAATGAGTTTTATACAAGTTGCAGATTCCTGCACAAAAAAAATCTGCCCGTGATACCTGGGTTGTGGTGTGAACAAGGCAAATAGAGATTGTTTTTTTGCTCCGACATCTCTGCACCATGGTGTGAATGCCCTTAATGTTTCAAAATACTTTGTTATTAAATGTAGTTTGTAATCCAAATAAAACTTGCAGTGCTGCTCTAAACTGCGACAGAGATCTCCCCGCTGGTTGCGGTGAAGGGAGCTGGTGTCAGTGCATCATTCAGAGGTGTAAGAGCATCATCAAAGAGTAGAAAAGGCACCACTCACCAACCCAGTGCATTAGTATGTAGATGAACGTGGCCTCAGCCAGAGCCACTCCAGCCATGTCCCCAACATGTTTCGCCCCACCCACCGGGGGCTTGGTCACCAAGTCCTGATGGATTGGGCTAGCTCATCTCTAATTCGGGAGATGGCCTTAATGTTAGACCAGGGGCGGACTGACCATTTGGAAACTCGGGCACTGCTCAAGGGCCCTGGGTCAGTAGGGGGCCCCATGAGATGCCCCTGGTACCTTTTTCATAGGATTTTTTGAGTTTGGGCAAGGACACAGGGGCCCAATGATCCCCTATTGCCCGGGGGCCCCATGAGTTGTCAGTCCGCCCCTGTGTTAGACTGTGTACCTGACCAAGTCCCCGGCATTGATGAGCAGTAGATAGGCACAGCACAACATGACATAGTCAGAGAACTCAACTGCCCCTGAAAACTACCCACAAGTACACAAGCTTGTGAACAGACAGACAGGTACACAGATTTGATCAGTTTTGCTGGTCTGGTATGCTGCTGGGTAGCCATCAGGCCTTGGGCTTCTGCCTAGTTTGCCTTGTAAAGGATCTAGCTATGAAAAAGAAGGGGGGGTCCATTGATGGTGGAACCCACTGAGGTATGGGGCATGGGGAATCTTGCCCTCTATGCTCTCCCAATAACATCTCTGTAGCCTCTGCCTATCTGTCCATAGCAATCTGAGTTTTTAAACATTTTGTCCAGCGTTCTTAGAAAGCATTTCCTGATTTCCATACGATCTGCCAAACTGAATAAAGCTTGCAATTAATATTTACAGCACATTTGAAAATACTGTATGTAGAAGCCTTTGAATTTTAATATTTATATATGAAATATGCAAGTTCACATCTTGCTACCGCATAAAACATCTTCCATTGTTTCAGTTTCAATTTCATGCCAGGCTAAATTGCCTTGTATCCAATTAGTATCCAATTGTGCCCTGCCAGTCATCTTCACTTACCGTTGCACTCTAGTCATTTTCACATCAAAAGCTGTTCATTTCAAGAACGTTTCACCAAGTCCACAGTTTTTACATACATTAAGTTTTGGGGTGTCCTATTAATTTCTGCACTCTTCAAATGGAATTTTTTAGATTATGCTTTTATTTCAAGTGCTGCTTTCAATGTTTGATACAAGACTCCCAATTTAGTTGAACGGATTACAAACTTACTTGAAAGCTGAAGCTTTAAGGAAAAAGAGAAAGTAGAAGATATTTCACACATTGTACACACAGCTTATTGATGCTAAAAGGATATTCTACTTTTTATTTTTAATACATCAGTCATCATTCAAGCGACCTCTGTTAGCCAGCCTTACAGCTTCTTCCGTCAGCTGAGGGTAGAGTTGCCACCTCCTCCCTTTAAACCTGAACACATATTAATGGCACAGGTTCTGAAGGTAATTTAATGCAGATAAGGCAACAAGTGAGTTTAATTACCAATTTAATCAGCCCCAGAACCTGTGTATTTAATTTGTGTTTGATTTTAAAGGGATGAGGTGGCAACCCTAGCTGAGGGTTAGTGAGTCTTCCCAGGTCTTAGCTGCTACCATCAACTGTAGGGTAACAAGTCTGGCCACACATCCCCTAGCTGCATTGGTCCTCAGCACAGAAGGCACCTTGTTTATACCTCATTAACTTGTGTCATAGTGTTTGAGATAACATTAGTTTCCTGAGTTCTTGTGTGTGTTTCCCTCCCTGATTCATTTCTACAGTCAGGTCCATAAATATTGGGACATCGACACAATTCTAACATTTTTGGCTCTATACACCACCACAATAAATTTGAAATGAAACAAACAAGATGTGCTTTAACTGCAGACTGTCAGCTTTAATGTGAGGGTATTTACATCCAAATCAGGTGAGCGGTGTAGGAATTACAACAATTTGCATATGTGTCTCCCACTTGGTAAGGGACCAAAAGTAATGGGACAGAATAATAATCATAAATCAAACTTTCACTTTTTAATACTTGGTTGCAAATCCTTTGCAGTCAATTACAGCCTGAGGTCTGGAATGCATAGACATCACCAGACGCTGGGTTTCATCCCTGGTGATGCTCTGCCAAGCCTCTACTGCAACTGTCTTCAGTTCCTGCTTGTTCTTGGGGCATTTTTCCTTCAGTTTTGTCTTCAGCAAGTGAAATGCATGCTCAATCGGATTCAGGTCAGGTGATTGACTTGGCCATTGCATAACATTCCACTTCTTTCCCTTAAAAAACTCTTTGGTTGCTTTTGCAGTATGCTTTGGGTCATTGTCCATCTGCACTGTGAAGCTGCGTCCAATGAGTTCTGAAGCATTTGGCTGAATATGAGCAAATAATATTGCCCGAAACACTTCAGAATTCATCCTGCTGCTTTTGTCAGCAGTCACATCATCAATAAATACAAGAGAACCAGTTCCATTGGCAGCCATACATGCCCACGCCATGACACTACCACCACAATGTTTCACTGATGAGGGGGTATGCTTAGGATCATGAGCAGTTTCTTTCCTTCTCCATACTCTTCTCTTCCCATCACTCTGGTACAAGTTGATCTTGGTCTCATCTGTCCATAGGATGTTCTTCCAGAACTGTGAAGGCTTTTTTAGATGTCGTTTGGCAAACTAATCTGGCCTTCCTGTTTTTGAGGCTCACCAATGGTTTACATCTTGTGGTGAATCCTCTGTATTCACTCTGGTGAAGTCTTCTCTTGATTGTTGACTTTAACACACATACACCTACCTCCTGGAGAGTGTTCTTGATCTGGCCAACTGTTGTGAAGGGTGTTTTCTTCACCAGCGAAAGAATTCTTCGGTCATCCACCACAGTTGTTTTCCGTGGTCTTCCGGGTCTTTTTGTGTTGCTGAGCTCACCGGTGCGTTCCTTCTTTTTAAGAATATTCCAAACAGTTGTTTTGGCCACGCCTAATGTTTTTGCTATCTCTCTGATGGGTTTGTTTTGTTTTTTCAGCCTAATGATGGCTTGCTTCACTGATAGTGACAGCTCTTTGGATCTCATTTCGAGAGTTGACAGCAACAGATTCCAAATGCAAATAGCACACTTGAAATGAACTCTGGACCTTTTATCTGCTCATTGTAATTGGGATAATGAGGAAATAACACACAGCTGGCCATGGAACAGCTGAGAAGCCAATTGTCCCATTACTTTTGGTCCCTTAACAAGTAAGAGGCACATATGCAAACTGTTGTAATTCCTTCACCGTTCACCTGATTTGGATGTAAATACCCTCAAATTAAAGCTGACAGTCTGCAGTTAAAGCGCATCTTGTTTGTTTCATTTCAAATCCATTGTGGTGGTGTATAGAGCCAAAAATGTTAGAATTGTGTCAATGTCCCAATATTTATGGACCTGACTGTATATTCTTGGATTCCCTTATTGCTGACCTTTGCCTTGTATCCGGATTAATCTTTGGATTGCTGCCTGAACTGCACCTCAGATTGTTAAATGGACTAAGTTTGCTTGTTACTAACGATACTGATACGCTTGCTCACTATCCGCCTTGACCCTGGACTGACCATTTGGAAACTCGGGCACTGCCTGAGGGCCCGGGGGTCAGTAGGGGGCCCCATGAGATGTCCCTGGTACCTTTTCCATAGGCTTTTTTGAGTTTGGGCAAGGACACAGGGGCCCCATGATTTCCTATTGCCCAGGGGCCCCATGAGTTGTCAGTCCACCCCTGCCCAGGATTGTCCTACCAGACCCTGTTTACTAGAAAAACAAGAACAGAATGGTGCACCAGTCTTGCACATTATCTTAGTGATTCCCTTTATTGAAATGATAAAACAATTGTATACCTACAAACACCATAAAATATCAAGCCCATCAATATCCACAGTGTTCTACATTGACCTGGTCCATTGTACAAGTCCCAATCACAGGAAGACACTCAGAATGGCTGACGTGCTTTGAGGCGAGTCCCCTCTTTCTCAGCACCCTCAGAGGCTGCATTAGCCTCAGAGCCTTCAGAGTGTTCTGCATTGGCCTGGTCCACTGCACAAGTCCCAACCACAGGAAGAGACTCAGAATGGCTGATGTGTTTCAAGGGGAGTCCCTTTTTCCTCAGAGCCCTCAGAGGCTGCATTAGCCTCAGAGCCCGCAGAACGTCCTGCATTGGCCTGGTCCACTGCACAAGTCCCAACTACAGGAAGAGACTTAGAATGGCTGACGTGTTTCAAGAGGAGTCCCCTCTTCCTCAGAGCCCTCAGAGTGTCCTGCATTGGCCTGGTCCACTGCACACGTCCCAACCACAAGAAGACACTTAGAATGGCTGACGTGTTTCAAGAGGAGTCCCCTCTTCCTCAGAGCCCTCAGAGTGTTCTGCATTGGCCTGGTCCACTGCACAAGTCCCAACCACAGGAAGACACTCAGAATAGCTGACGTGTTTCGAGGGGAGTCCCCTTTTCCTCAGAGCCCTCAGAGGCTGCATTAGCCTCAGAGCCCTCAGAACGTCCTCCATTGGCCTGGTCCACTGCACAAGTCCCAACGACACTTAGAATGGCTGACGTGTTTCAAGAGGAGTCCCCTCTTCTTCAGAGCCCTCAGAGTGTCCTGCATTGGCCTAGTCCACTGCACAAGTCCCAACCACAAGAAGACACTTAGAATGGCTGACGTGTTTCAAGAGGAGTCCCCTCTTCCTCAGAGCTCTCAGAGTGTCCTGCATTGGCCTTGTCCACTGCACAAGTCCCAACGACACAAAGACACTTTGAATGGCTGACATGTTTCAAGAGGAGTCCCTTCTTCCTTCGAACCCTCAGACTGTCATGCATTGGCCTTGTTCACTGCACAAGTCCCAACCACACGAAGACACTTTGAATGGCTGACATGTTTCAAGAGGAGTCCCCTCTTCCTCAGAGTCCTCAGAGGCATTAGCAAGTGCAGTTCCACTATGTCCCCACTAGGCGTCTTAAGCCCCACCCACAGAATAATGGGGGGCATCCTGTCTGTCTCCACAGTCAGCCTTAGACAGTTCCTATAAAGCTGGGACAAAGTGTTTTACGGGAAATAGAACACTAATAAAAACTGAAATAAGACTTTTTTTTTTAAAGATCCCTTGCATTTATATAAGTGAGCCTACTAATTTTTATCTTTGTATAAAGCCTGCTTTTCCCCTAAAAATCCCTGTAAAAGTCTATAGGGAAAGTCACAATACTATAACAATTTTTATTCGTATGCATTACCATAAACTGTCTAGTCTCTAAAGTATTGGGAACAGTGAAATGATGTAATGGATGTAATGGTCGTCTAGTGTTAGAAAGCAGTTTACACGTATTCATGTATTGTTGATGTGCACTCTATAAGTTGGGAGTAGAATAGAATCTGAAAATCAAACAAGAAACCAGGGACATTGACTTCACATCACGAGCATACAGAGGAAGGCATTCTGAGATTCACAGCTGTCCGGATAACAATGGACCAGGCATTGACAAAACCGTTCAGCATTGTTCCCATGCATTTGTTCTACAGATCTTCAGCCTCGTTTCTTTCCATTTCTGTACCATTGATGTAATTAAACAGCCCTATTAAACTCATTCTGAGGAAAATACCTGTTGCAAAAAAACTTTTATGAAGGATGAACAATGTGTCCTGGGTGATATAAAATCTTTAACAACAAAAAAATATGTTTGCTTTGGCTATTTAACAGCACCGTCTCTCTTCCTCTGTAATCTAGAATGGGAAGATGTCATTTCCCAATGTCTGAATGCTACTGTCCGGCCAGTAGCTCCTAAACCACATGTGGCTCAAATCTTGATGTTGCCTGTGGCGGGCCAACAGCCTGCCATCTGCCTGTCTGTACGCCTTTTGCATTCCACACTTCTATGAAGCAGATGCAAGAGTCCCCTGGTACTCATCCCTGGTAGCCAGCAAATGAAACCCTACTTCTAATATTTCCATAAAGGCAGAGGTCTCAGTTTTCACTAATATGGAGTGTCAAGGCACCTCGTCACAGCCTGGCATATATGTATTCTAGAGATATGTGTATGAGGTTACCCATCTCTTTTTGAAGGTGCAGCAACATTTATAGTGTTACTAAACCCCGGAGCCTGCATTCACTATATCTGGTCTCCCCGGACCCTGCATTCACTATATCTGGTCTCCCCTGACCCTGCATTCACTATATCTGGTCTCCCCAGACCCTGCATTCCCTATATCCAGTCTCCCCGGACCCTGCATTCACTATATCCGGTCTCCCCGGACCCTGCATTCACTATATCTGGTCTCCCCGGACCCTGCATTTACTATATCCGGTCTCGTCGAAACCTGCATTCACTATATCTGGTCTCCCCGGACCCTGCATTCACTATATCTGGTCTTCCCGGGCCCTGCATTCACTATATCTGGTCTCCCCGGACCCTGCATTCACTATATCCGGTCTCCCCGGATCCTGCATTCACTATATCAGGTCTCCCCGGACCCTGCATTCACTATATCTGGTCTCCCCAGACCCTACATTCACTATATCAGGTCTCCCCGGACCCTGCATTCACTATATCTGGTCTCCCACAGTACACACAACATGGAAATGCAATTATTTTAGTAAATATAAACTGCTAAATACCTTTTCTCATCAGCAGTTAGAGCAGTCTTGTGACTTCTATCAGTGTCCAGCAGAGCACTTGTTAGAGCTTGTAGGAGGCGTTTTCTTTCTGCTCTAGGAGGATGCAGAACCTCTGACCTCTGTCTGGACAGTGCTGATTGGCCCTGTGCTGATCACATGCACTCTCCCAAGAAAAAAACCTCTCTAGCAACACACATCAAACTGATCATGTACAGAGTGTCTCCGCATGATATGTCTTATCGGGAAATAAGAGGGGGTCACTGGAAAAAGGGAAGGATCAGAGAAGTCAGGATAAAACAGCATTTTTACAAAATGCAGAGGATTAACCCCCTAGATTCCACAGTGAGTATAACAAGCATGCTTTACTGCATATACAGACTGATTTTACTGTTATGGGTTTAGTGACACTTTAATAACCAGTTTCAGTTATGGCAGCTGCAGACCTTGCAAGTATAAGGCCTCAAAACCATAGGATTTCAATTTCTACTGTAGGTGGACACTTAAAGGGGCTATAAATAAAATGAACGCTAAAAGGTTATCAGCACTCAACCCTCTAGCCTGTAAAATCCTACGTTAATATAGTTTAAAAAAAAAAAAAAAAAAAAAGAAGCTACAATTTTCACATGTCTGCAGTTACATAGTACAATTAAAGGGCGCATAAAACCCAAAACCGAACTTCTTTTTTTTATCCCTTTTGGTCTGTATAATATACCATTGAAAGCATTTTGCAATTTCTTTTGATAAATGCAAAAAACACCCATTGATCCTGCCAATATCTTGTTTCTCTGACTGGATGAGGTGGAGAGCATGATGTTACCACCCCACCTCTTCACCTTGTCCAATCAGAGAATGCTTTGCATTCATTGAGTAAATGCAAAGCATTCTGTGAGTGGCCCTGGTGCCAAGCAGCCGACCTCCTGTGTTCAGAAGGCAGGGCAACCGTTTGGAACGATACCTGGAAGCCTTATCAGAGTTACAGTACATTGGTCCAACGTGGACCAATGTAACTATGCAAAATTATCCATGCCTAGAATTCGTTTTTAGGGCTAGTTCACACTAGATGCAGTTCAGTGCGATTTTTTTTCTACATCAAAAATGCATGCACAGTGTTTTCCATGTATTCCAATGGCACTGGTTCACACTACTGCAGTCAGTTCCAGTCAGTTTCCGGGGCAGAAAAACAAGTAGAACATTCTGCACAGAACCATACTGGAACACTGCAAACTGCATCAAAACTGCTCTGGTACTGCATGTGATGTGAACTGTAAGCAAAAACATATCCAGAATGCTTCTGGAGTGCGTTTTTGTAGTGTGAACTGTCCGTAAGGGATGTGTTTTTGCATGCGTGCTTTTCACTTATTTTTGATGCGTTCCAGTGCCTTTTTATGCATTCCAGTAAATTTTTACCCCTCTCTTTTTCTTCAGTTTAAATATGGACATGTGCATTCCAGTGCATTTTTGGTGCGTACCTGTGTGTTCTGGTGCGTTTTTGATGCATTTTTACTGTTCTTTCTGCCTGGAAACTGAGAAATGTCCATGGCGTCCAAAAAGTGTCCCTTTAGAGGTCAGCTAGAGAACAGAGATAGTAAATCAGAACTACTTGCAGAATTGAGTGATAATGATTCGTGGGGAAATTCGTCATCAGACACTGAAAACGATTTTGCAACTTTGCTCAGTGATGTGCGAACTTGGCGCTATATTTCAAATTTCAGTGTTTTTGATTTGATTATATTATTGAATTAAATGTATTATTATTATATTATTATTTTTATGATTATTTATTATATTATAATTTATGATTTCGTGTTTCACATTTTAACATACCCGGGATGTTTACTAGACTCTTGTTCGGGACAGATTTCAGTGAGTTATTCCTAAAAATTACAGGCCTACAATAAAAAAAACATATTTCCATGCAAAAAAATGTACCGCTTTGAGCACAGAAATATGGACATAATCAGACCGCTAGGGAGGTTAATGTCTCCCTACACTGTATTTATCAATAGACACACACAGCCTTGTAGCCTAGGATGGCAAGGCACTCCCCTGCTCCCCCCCAAACCTCTCCAAACTAACCCACTAGCTCAAGACCTCACTGTCCACCTTCAACTCTTTCTTGTGAGGACTGGAGGTTCAGGGGAGCAGCACCGAGAGAGCAGGAGCCAGCAACTTTGAAAAGTTCTAAACTGCAAGTGCTGGGGTAAGAATTTGAACAAATAGTTTACTAGGGAATGTTTATTATATTGTGATGAATGTGTTAAACAAAAAATACCTAAATAATAGGAAAGAAAATGCTTAGAATTTATTTCCACCTTATTTGGTGTTCTCATATTTGCCTGGAGTTCAGCTTTAATTATTTTATATTACTTTAAAAGAAAATTTGTATTCTTAAAACAGGTTTGTACCACCATAAAGGTTGTACAAAGAAAAATTAGGATGTGCAACTGGCCATAACAATCAGATTTGAAATTTGTAAAGACAGAACAGTACAGTTAGTTTTTCCCTGGTTACAATTGGTTAGTTCACTGTCCACTTTGCTGGTAGCTTTATTAAAGTGAACATATCTCCTAACAGGAACTGTAACCTGTTGTACCCTGCTACTCTGCACTAAATGTGATATTTAATTGTTTTGAAGAAACTATTCAGCTAGTGACATATCACATGATTGATGCCATGGCATTGCCCAAGCCATCTTAAGGGTCATACAGAGCCAGCCACCCAATCAGCTGCTCTGCCAAAACACGAACCTTCCAAGGAAAGGAAATATTCACTCCAGCTACTAAAAAACCCCATTAACATATTTATGTGTTCAAATAAAAAGTATCAAAGCTTCTGCACTTGTCTAATCATGTGTAAACTCTTCAGTTCAGCAATGCTTCCTGCAGTGCACTGTTCGTCATGGAAGTGAGCTCGACTGCCTGGTTGTGATTGGATAGTAATGATATAATTGCTGGTTCTGTCAGGAGATAGCATTTACACATGAACAGTTTCCACTAATTATAGACTTCTGTGGACTCCAGCCTGGTGTAATTACAGTTTGAAGCCTGAATTATAAACTAGCTGTAATCATTATTGATGTGGACTATGCATCTGTTTCTTTCTTCCATTTTTGTTTTTTTATGTAGCGTGCATTAAATAACTTCAAAACTGATCTACACAGGCTTTGTCAGGTTGTAGTAGTTTCAAATGAGTACTACAATTGGTGCACTACTGTATATGGCCAAACGTTAATAAACACCTGATGATCACACCTACATGAGCTTGGTAGATATCCCATTATAAAACCATGGGTATTGATCTGAGATTGTCCCATTTTTGCAGCAAAATACCATCTTCTCTCCCGGAAAGGCTGTCCACAAGATTTTGGAGTGTGCCTGTGGGAATTTTGCACCCATTAAGCCAAAATTGCATTTGTGAAGTTATGACAAGAGAATGAGAAGATTGGATGTTGGACTGATGCTGATAAGAACACTTGGCATTGGACTGATGTTGGATGAGAAGACTTGGTGTTGGACCAAGGTTGAATGAGAAGACTTGGTGCTGGACCGAAGATGGATGAGAAGACTGAGTGTTGGACTGATGGTGGATGAGAAGATTGGGTGTTTAACCAATATTGGATGAAAAGATTTGGTGTTGGACCAATGTTGGATGAGAAGACTGGTTGCTAGACCAATGTTGGATGAGAGGACTTGGTGTTGGACCGATAATGGATGAGAAGACTGAGTGTTGGACTGATGGTGGATGAGAATATTGGGTGTTGGATCAATGTTCGATGAGAAAATTGGGTGTTGGACTGATGTTGGATGAGAAGACTGGTTGTTGGACCAATATTGGATGAAACGATTGGGTGTTGGACCAATGTTGGATGAGAAGACTGGGTGTTGGACCAATGTTGGATGAGAGGGCTTGGTGTTGGACCGATGTTGAATGAAAAGACTGGGTGTTGGATTGATGGTGGATAAGAAGACTGAGTGTTGGACTGATGGTGGATGAAAATAATGGGTTTTGGACCAATGTTTGATGAGAAGATTGGGTGTTGGACTGATGTTGGATGAGAAGACTGGTTGTTGGACCAATGTTGAATGAGAAGACTGGGTGTTGGACCAATGTTGGATGAGAAGACTGGTTGTTGGACCAATGTTGGATGAGAAGACTGGGTGTTGGACCTATGGTGGATGAGAAGAACACCACAAACCATGTCTTTACAAAGCTGGCTTTGTGCATAGGGGTAAAGTCATGCGGTAACAAAAAAGTTGCCCAAATTGTTGCCACAAAGATAGAAATGCACACTTGTCTTTAATTCGTTGTGTGCTATAACAATAACAGTGTCCTTCCCTAGAAACACCTGAACCTCAGTAATTTGATTGCCCAAGCCAGAATTAAAACCAGACATGCCAATTTATGGCAGATATTCCCTATGGATCACCAATTGCTAGGCTTATCACATGAAATTGTAAACTGATACACTGGGTGAGCTTCACTGAGCTTCATTGATATTGTGGTCACACCTCCATTCCAATCAATGAATGAGAAGAATCCAATGGAGATTCATCCTAAGTTACAAAGATGGCAGAGAATTGTGAGATAAGCCCCTCCTCCCCCTTATGCAATTGGTATAATACACAGTATAAAAAATATATGCTTCTCTATTAAGTCCTATCCTAATTAGGAGGTTTGGTATTTGGTCATTTACATCATGGAAGTTGGGAATCTCTTCCCATGATATCCTGTTTGCCATCACTCCAATGGATCCCACTCATGGGAAGGTTGCCCGCACTCTAGTAACCAAGAAAATGATCTGAAGGACTTTTCAAGTCTTTCTCCTAGCAGCTCAGATCACTTTGTTGCCTTCTTCCAGCACTCATTCAGCAGCTATAGCCTTCCAACCTCTAATATAAATACAGAGCTCTGGGAGAGGGGAGCATTTTGAGATAGGACACCTAAAATAGCAAACAAATGGCCAGCACACCAAAAGCTAAAGACCTCAAGTCTTTA